CACACACACACACACCGTGAACACACACCCAGAGCAGTGGGCAGCTATATTGCTGCGGTGCCCAGGGAGCAGTTGGGGGTTCAGTGCCTTGCTCAAGGGTCTCACCTCAGTCATGGTATTGAGGGTGGAAGAGATCGCTGGTTATTCACTCCCCCCGCTGACAATTCCTGCCGGACCTGAGACTTGAATTCGCAACCTTCTGGTTACAAGTCTGACTCTTTAACCATTAGGTGACAACTGCCCTTAATGAGCCTGTATTAACAGTTGACCCCAAACTGTAATTACCGCCAGTATTTACTCACCCTAATTTTGTAACTGTATGTGGTTATTTATTCTGTGGAACACAGAAGTGATTTCTTAAGAATCATTAAAAACGTATTTTTCATAGTGACAACTATAGTTAACTGTGAAGCTGACAAAGTGAACCATAAAAGGAGTCCATACAAATCCAAGTTCATTCATGTCTTCTGAAGTCATACAGTTTGGACAGAATTTTCATTTCAGGGTTTTAATTAACTGTTAAACTATGCCATGACTTGTATCCTGCTGGCTGTTTGTTCCCATTTTTGTTGTATTATCTGGACAGCTGCAGACTTCATTGGTCTTTTCATGAAAGTACGTGATTCCCTTGACCCCATCTATCCAAGACAGGCTGAACCGTGACTGAATATATAAAGATGTCTCTCCAGTATCTCTAGTGCATGACTGTGAAAAGGGTTTCAAATAATCACAGGGCTGTGGCTAAAAAAATGCAAGTTTATTTTCAGCCTTATTATCATGTTCATTAAATATTCAAAACTATTTAATATATGTCCTATTGTCTCTGGTGTTAAAATAATGAGGGTGCTGCTGATGAAGCAAACACAGTCTTTGTTGTTGGTTATTTGAGCTTCGTGTTTGCGGGCAATTAAAGCTGAAAACAGGCCACAACATTAAACCAAAGAGCTTCACAGAAGATGCCCAATGTCCTTTCCAAAATCCAGTATGAAGATGCCAGTCCAAACAACATGAATCGAAGAAAAGCCTATATAAAAAAGAGTGATCATTTTAATTATGTTTAAAATGTGATGCCTGAGAAATAGTTTGTGTTAATGTGACAATTGCTGACGAATGTGTGCACGGCGGCAACAAATTAAAATTTATCATCAACATTTAATTAGTCGCATCTAATTCTAATTCTGAATGAAACTTCTAGGAACACAAATGAAATTGAACATGTTCAGCCTACATTTCTTCTGGCGTGTCAACGTTAATGAAGGAACTGGATAAGAATAACATGTTTTCTGTGGCCAGGGAGATTGTGAGATGATTTGCTAGAGGTCGCGTTTATTGCATGTACAGTATATTTTCAGAAATTTATTTAATTGAAAATCACTTTTATTTACTTTTCCACAATATATGACGTTTGAATATCAACAAAAATAATTATAAATAAAATGTTTGCAGATTGAAAGATCTTAACGGAGGTATTACAGTAAAAATGACATACAAGAAAACCAAAAATATAAAACAAACGGTGAAAAATATGTATTTTTTACATGCTAACAAAAACAAGGCTCAACAATATAGATGATGGCCCAGGGTCAGAGTAGGAGAGTTTCATAAAGGTCACTTTCCTTTTTTGGGTTGATGCTCCGTTGTAACCATGTCTTACATCCGAAAATCATGTATTTCCATACATTTGAAATATCGTGGATGTTTTGAATGTTGTTCATTTAGCTGATTTCAATATCACCAAGGTAATGCTATCTCTCTGGCTAAAATAAATTATTTGTTGAAACTGCATGAAATATTTTTCAATGCTCTTAGATCATCTTCTAAACGTGTTGAAAATTATAATCATATTTTTGCATGGTATGCCATTGTATGCTATGGAAATAAAAAGGTGATTGTGACTTTTTATTTCACAATTTGGACGTTATTTCAGAAATGCAAGATATAATCTCAGAATTCTGAGTTTGTTATTGCAGTTCCAAGTTTACATCTTGCAATTTCTAAATTTACAATTCACAATTCATTATTATTATTATTTTCGCCTGTCTAGAATAAAAATGGAAAAAAAGGTAATCGCAATGTTTTAGCTCACAATTCTTATTTTTTCTTGCAATTGAGAGTTAACATCTTGCAATTATGACTTTTTTTTCTTACAATTGTGAGTTTATATCTTACAATTCTGACTTGAATTCAGAATTGTAAGATAAAAATGTTATGGTTGTCATATCTTATTTTGCAAGTAAAATAATGTTTAAACTCAATATTGTTGAGCCCTGAATATGGTTTTTAGTGTGTATAAAAGCTTACAGAAAATGTAAAATTGCATTTCAACCAGAATAAATTAAATAAAATAATTTATTTAACCATACTTACAAATAGCTACATGAATTGAATGCAGCAAAGACATCTAAACAGTCCTTTCAATTAAATTGACTGTAAACAGAATACACTTGTTCTGACTTAAAAGAAAAAGTTCACCCAAAAATGAAAATTTGTCGAAAATATAGGCCATCCAACATGTAGATGAGTTTGTTTCTTCATCGGAACAGATTTGGAGAAATTTAGCATTACATACCATGCCCACTAATGGCTCCTCTGCAGTGAATGGGTGCCATCAGAATGAGGTTCCAAACAGCTGATAAAAACCTCACAATAATCCACAAGTTTCTTACAAACACGCAGCTTTTTGTTTCAAGGTACATTAATTGATGGACTGGAGTGGTGTGGATTACTTGTGGATTATTGTGATGTTTTTATCAGCTGTTTGGACTCTCATTCTGACGGCACCCATTCACTGCAGAGGATCCATTGGTGAGCAAGTGATGGAATGCTACATTTCTCCAAATCTGTTCTGATGAAGAAACAAACTCATCGACATCTTGGATGGCTCGAGGTTGAATAAATTGTAAGCAAATTTTCATTTTGGGTAAACTATTCCACCCAAATATTACAGCACATCACAGAGCTGTACATTAATTTTCTGTAAAAAGTATCACTTTAAATTTTTACGACATCATGACAAATTTAATGACAACAAACCTTTAGACGACATTTGAAAAATTCTATCGATACACAACACCACTTACTGATTCTCACAGATGCTGTGTAGAAGCTGTGTCTTACTCTGACAAAATGGTTTCACTTCTACGGTCACTTTTAGCACAGCGCCAGGCAAGTCAACACTTATTTACAATTATTATAAAAATCATTATCCGCCTGTGTGCACAGGTCAGTGGCTTTAGATACTTCCAGCGAGTCAAACTCTGTATTCGTGTTCAGTGTTGCGATTTAGTAACCTTGTTATACTCAAATCAGAGAACAAGAGCTTCAATATGAAACAGATTCATATACAGATTTCATTCCTAAACCGCTGCTCAGATTCTGCTGGTTCTGTATTGGTTCCGTTTGTTTGAAAGTCAGTCATTGAAAAGCAAACTGCCCTTTTGGTTTGGTCAGACATATGGGCAGATGGTATCACCGTATACACTGTGATAAACAGTCACGGGAAATCAGTTCACAGTACTGTGGAGAGTTCACGGCCCTGTCCGCAAACACTCATCTCATCTTCCTCAGACGAATTCTGTTCTCCTTGTCCCGCTTCTTTAACGTGCCGATGAACTGGGTGAAAAACAGCTCTTGGTCTTTCCTCTTCAGTACCTGTTTAAACCGTGGATCGTTTCCATACTTTTCCGAAAACTCTTTGAACATCGACCTACGAAAGAGAACATCAGAATGAGATCCTTGACAATCATCCGATGTTTTACGTGCTCAGTGTGATGGTCCACTATTGTTCAGCTGTACGAGGTCTGATTGCGGTTGTTTTCATGGCTAGACTTTGAAAGCTTTCTCAAAAGAGGAGATCCTGCATGTCTTCAGTCTGAAGTAAAAGTGAAAATACATGAACCCGCCCAGAGCATTAAAGCAGTAAAGCACAATTTCACCAAGAAACATTCTCATTTTGATGCATTTGTTATCTTCTGAAATCTTTAACTAAAACCTTTTTCTAGGGGATTGCAAAACTGGTTGCTAGGATGTTGCTATGATTTATCTAGGGTGTTCTAAACACATATCTATGTGGTTGCTAGGGTGTTCTGGCTGGTTGCCAGGGAATTGCAAGGGCATTTACTAATAACTGGGGCAAGTTGAGTTGCTAGCGTTAGGGGTTAAGGGTAATGCAAGTTTAATATTAGCGTTAGGGGTTTTCAAAAACCTGACTATAAAGATATCACTCAAGTTTTGTTTCCTTGTGAGAACTTGCAATAAGAGCATGCTGATGTAACGGAGGCCAGCTAGTAAGGGCTGTGCAGGTGAACCTCACTCCCCTGATCTCAGGAGGTACACTAGTAACTGACGCTAGAGGCTGGAGTTCGAGTCCTGCTTGGAGCAGGCAGTTTACATTGGTGCCGTGACCCGGATTTGAGTAAGGTTTAGGTGGGTAAGTATAACGGAGGCCACACATGCCAGAAGCACTTGCCGGAAATGCCGGTTTGAGTCCCGCTCAGAGCAAGCAGATGGGTTACATTGGTGCCATGACCCGGATATAGGGGAGTGAGTATAACGGAGGCCAGGAAGTAAGAGCTGTGCAGGTAAACCTCACTCCCCTGATCTCATGAGGCACACTAGCAAATGATGCTAGAGGCTGCCCGCCTCACATCCTGGAAATGCCAGTTCAAGTCCCGCTTGGGGCGAGTGGGTGGGTTACATTGGTGCCGTGACCCAGATATAGGGGGGTGAGTGTAATGGAGGCCAGCTAGTAAGAGCTGTGCAGGTAAACTTCACCCCCTGATCTCAAGAGGAGCACTAGCAACTAATGCTTTAGGCTTTGATCTTTAGCATCCTTGTTAGTGCGCCCACCTCACATGATGGAAACACCAGTCTGAGTCCCGCTTGGAGTGAGCGTGGCAAGTAGAACTGGAGAAAAAGCAACATTTTGAAAAAAAAGTGGAATAAATCACTTTTTTTGTCGAAATACTACATCTGGATCAGATTCAGAACGATGATCAAAACATAGATGGAGTAGATAGTTTCCATCAACAACCCTAAAGTTTGCACGGTCCTAGACAACTTCCCGAGACTGCATTTTATTTAGGCAGTTTTGATTTATATGCTGTTTAATGCTTGATGATCTTGTTATTTTACATATGCATCTGCTTTCATATGCAATCCCTTGTTTCTGCTTCTTCTTCACCGTGTTTTGATCCAGACATTCAGTACACTTTTCAGAAGATGTGTAATAGCGCCTCTTACTGTATATCAGTAAAAACACAGAAAGCCGAAAAATGGTGGGGAAAGAGTTAATGCCAACATATGCATAGATGTATATCATATTTCCAACTACTCATAGTCAATTATTTAAGATGATCTCTTCTTAAAAATATACTGTTTAGCTTCAATAACAGGAGCTGTGAATGTGGTAATATTAGTGCATTGATTCACTTCTCTTCAGTTCCTTTCACTATAAATTAATCAGATAAAGATACGTTTTCTGGTAAACCTGCAAAGAGGAAACTTCAAGCTGAGTCTTAAACCCTGTGGCATGTTTGAATTCACTTCTGTGTTAGACCTTTAACAAGAAACAAGGTTATCATCAAATACACAAACCCAAAGAAACGAGGACCCAAACTGCAAAGACCATCAGTTATTAACACCTTTGCTGAATAAATAATCCGCTCTAGAGACGGATTTTATTAATGCATCAGCAAAAGCAGTCACACATATTTCATAAGCTCACCTGGATGTGATTTTTGATTCCTCCAGCAGTTTTCTGTACTCTTCTTTTGCTTGCTGGAGTTTGCACTTTTTCTCCTTGTGCTCCTCTTTCATTCTTGCTTTGACAAACTGATCATAAATCTGAGGAGAAAAAAAAGTAGTAGTGTCATCTAGTACAGATTTTTCTGTATTGTGTGTGTGTGTGTATATATATATATATTTTTTTTTTTAAATATGTAATTTAATATTTATAATATCAATTATTTAATAAAATGTATAAATAAATATATTTAAGATATTTTTTAATTTGTAATATTTATTAAATAAATATTAAATATTTCATAAATATTAAAAATGTACAAATAAATATATTCAATATATAAATAATTTTCAGTATAAGTCATCCTCTATGTGATACAGTTACCTTGATGCAAGACATTTGGTCTTACCACCATCTAATAGTACTTTCAAAACCACAGTAGGTCTGTGGAAATGTAGAGGTAATGACGTTTGAAGTTCTATTAATATTTGAGGTTGATTGAGGCTGATGTGAAACCTTTGTGTCGTACCTGCTTTCGTTCCTCTGGACTCAGCAGCAGGTACCGTGGATCAAATACAATTTTGTGCAGTTCTTTCTCCCAGGTGGAGAATGCAGACACCTGTTCAAAATACACGGGATGAATGATCCTCATCCAGAACAAACGCATGTCAATTAAGCCACTTCATTTCAAGATTCACAGTGTGTGCAAATATACAAAGTCTGCACTATTTTGGTGGGCCAAGTACTGGCAGAATTTTAATTTTTGGGTGAACGATTGCATTAACTTTTATCTCATTTTTTTTTTTCCTTTAAAGCTGAAGTTTCATTATTATCATTGGATTTCTCACCCCTCTTTCCAGAAGCATGTCTCTGAAGTGGCCGATCCGGAGCTCCAGCGGTAAAACCATCCGAAGAGATGATCCGTTTTTTCCTTCACACTCAACAGGATGGTCCAGTCTTTAAAGGAATGGAAATAAAACAGCTCTGATGTGTAATTATGTTAATATTTTGTCCAATACACTGAAACACTACACTAGAGAAACACTAAATTTATATTTTCACTCAGAAAAAAAAAGTGTCAAACGTTTTCAAAAACAATTACAAAGAAACAGCAAGTAACACATTGAATTAAACATGACAATTTTAAGTAGAACAACTAAAAAAAAGGGAAAAAAATATTTTCTTGTACTCCAATAATCTTTGTTTTATTTACAACTTCGGAAAATATTTTTTTACAGCATTGATTCTGCACAAACTATTATGATGGTAATATAACTCACTCAAATATCTTCAAATATTTTAGAGTAAATATTGTGTGAATTAAATATTCATGCCATTTCAGCAAATCTGACTGTGCCTCTTTTGCTATCATTAATTTTTATCATACACTGCAAAGTTTGGACATACTTTGTTTCTCTTCATCTTCAAAACTTTTTGATCTAAAGGCTTATGATTAAATGCTTGAAGTTTTGAAGGCAAACATAAGTCGTGCATATATATGATTTTTTTTTTCTTATATCATAAAACTATATTTTTAATGACCCTTTTTCATTGGGCATTAAAAAAAATCCATGCCAGCCAACCAGTATTTCAGACCACAAGGGAACCCCCCCCGAAACAAATGAAATCAAAAACTGTTGTAAATGAAATATATTAAAAAAAAAAAAAAAACACTGAATTATTCTTGAAATGTAAAGTGTTTTCTTTTCTCCACACAGACATTTGGGAGTATTTCAAAAACCCAACTGTTGAATTTAAATCATCTCTAAGAGCGACAGATTGAGAAATTCGCATCAAGCTGTGAGTGCAGATGTTGCCCACCAAAAACTAAAGACTTCCTGTTGAGCTGCGATTATTAAGGTGAGTGAAATGCAACACATCTGATACAAGATCCTCCTCATCAATTAAAGCAGATTAAGATCTGCTGTCATATTTTACATGGGTCGGCCCTATACTTACTTGTAGCGCTTGGTCTTTGAACTACCTTCCTCTTCATCGTCGTCGTCATCATCAGCATTTGAGCCATCGTCTGTTGATGGAACAAAACATGCTGTAGATCAGTATATATCCATACACTGTACTTGGATTTAACATTGCAAACAGATTATCAAAAGAAACAAGTGATAAATTAGTAAAAATATACAACAAGTTTGTAAAGTTTTATTTATGCACATAACTCCAGCTCTTCTGTATTGATATACCTGGTTCATGCCAGGTTGTTAATCCGAAAAGTAAAATAAGAACTAATTTAATTGGACATATTTCAATTTTAGACGCTGCATAGATTAAGGTCATCAAATAGATAATCTCCATGAAATGGCAATACAACTAAATCAATAAAGATGAAAAGCCTTCTGGGAAATCAAGCCAACCATATAATAACTTCCAGAAAAGATCCAGACTAATTCAATATTTGCAGAGCCGCTTCATTGGATTACTGCTTTTAGTTAATCCACGAGAACACCAGTTCTGCAGTTGGTGGGTGCATTAAACTTTTGCTTGAGCATCATTATCACACTGTGAGGATTAAACTTTCAGCCAAGTTCATCCCTTTACAGACTGTGCTCCTGCATTTCATATCATAAAGTCGTGAGTTACACTTCACTGATTCAGCAACTTAATCTGAACATAAATGAGTCTTTCCTTGAGGCTACAGTAGGGTTTGCCAACATGATCTCATTAGTATTTGCAGGTATGCTACTGTTCAAATGTTTGGGGTCAGTAAGGTTTAAAAAAAATAAAAAATTCGAGAAAAAAAAAAGAATACTTTTATTCAGCAAGGATGGATAAAATTGATCAAAAATGACAGTAAAGACATTTATAATGTTACAAAAGATTTCCATTCACAAAAATGCTGTTCTGTTGAACGTTCTATTCATCGAATAATCCTGAAAATAATTATTTCCACAAACATATTAAGCAGCACAAATGTTTATTAATAAATAATACATGTTTCTTGAACAGCAAATCAGCATATTAGAATTATTTCTGAAGGATCATGTGACACTGAAGACTGCTGAAAATTGAGCTTTGCCATCAAAGTAATAATTACATATTTATTCCTGTTTGTATTTACATTTGCATATATTTTATATTTACAAATAAAATGGAAAAGTCATTTTAAATAGTAAAAATATTTCACAGTATTATGTTTTTACTGTATTTTTGATCAAATAAATGCAGCCTTGGTGAGTATAAGAGACTTCTTTCTTACAAAAACATTAATAAATCTTGCCAATGCCAAATTTAGAATGGTAGTATACATTTTAATCCAGTACATTTTAAATTAGATTGACTGTCTTCATAGTCTGAATAATATTTATTAAATAGAAGCATCATGGATTTTTTTTGTTCCCTACTGAACTTGTTGCATCGCATTCTGGGATTGCTTTTTTAGTGAAGGATATATGCATTGATGGATGAATTTATTCATCTCAGAAGGAAGCAAAACGTTGCTACCTACCTTTTGAGACAGACTTCACATCAGAAGCTTGCTTACTAGACCTTAAAATGCTGTTTAGATAGGCAGCTCGCTAGGTTTTGGAGCCTGCACGGTGCCCTGCAAATGTAGATGACACTCATTCAGTCCAATATACAGTACATTGTGAAAGTCAAATCCATCAATCATATCACACTTTCATACAGTAAATGTGTGTGTGTGTGTGTGTGTGTGTGTGTGTGTGTGTGTGTGTGTGTGTGTGTATATATAGTAATTATTTACAGTAAATGTATATATTTATTTATATGTAAGTGTAGTTCTAGTAAACAAACCAAAACAAACAATATCAACATATGCAAAGCATCTGAAATGTAAACTCCTTTATCTTACAGCAGGTTCATGAAATAAGCAATTAAATCACAGGTTGAATTGTTTAAATAAAACTGATTTAGAAATTAGATAAAATATGCTTAACGGCATCAAATTTTTTTAACACAGTTAACACATTTACTCAATCGTCCATAACAGTTTTTGTGTGATTTCTAAATACAATGATGTTTCAATTATATTTCATACTTTCTGAACTTTTGATGTTAATTAAATTCCGTTATATAAAGACTTTGTGCCATCTGGATTTCATTTATAAATAAATCTGCCATTAAATGGGTCAGAAAATACATTGCCTGCATACCAATTTGCACACTATTCATCCTAAATGGTATTTAAAATTGTTCCAAATCATAGTAAAAGAGAGTGTTAAATATGCCTGAATGGTCTTCTATTTCTGGACAAAATCATTGAGTCTCACCTAAAGAGTCTTTCTTGCGTTTATGTGGTGGGTCCTCGATGATTCGATTGAGGTCTCCACGGTCTTTCAGATCCACTGGTTTCTCCCATACTGACAGATGCATGGTGGGATTGAAGAAAAACACCCTGTCATCGCCTGTCCACACTACACACCTACAGAAAAGAGAGAGATGCTGTCATGCCATTATACAGTCGCATACATGCAGGAACACAATCCGACAGACTGTTTGTGGTATTCTCACAATGTGACTAAGAAATCCCGATGATGAAAAACAGTCCCAACAGGACCAGAGAGACCCAGAGAGAGGATTATGGGTCACAAATGACAGCTGAGAACGACTGAGACCAGATGGGCTCTATTTGACCATTTGATACAGATTCTGATGTATTTTTGTCTTCACCAGCTATTTAATTTTTTTTTTTTTTTTGGTCGTAATCATCCTTCAGTTACACAAGATTTTTTAAATGGATAAAATCCACAATATGTCCAGCATCAAGTATCTACAAACATTTAAGTTGTATGCCATCAATACAAAAGTAGCCAATTATTCAGACGTTCCGCACTAGATATTCTTAACTTACAATGATAATTTAAGACCCATTTTAGCCTTTATTCAGAGCATATCGGATAAAGTATTCATGGATTTTGCCATGGTCTGTGAGGTAATTTGATACAACCTCATGCCAACCATGACAAACCAATCCTGACATTTCATTTTGCAACCCCATCGCATCAGGGAGATCGGCAGTGCCTTCCTGTACCATAAAACTGACCCAATGATATAAAAAAATCTTTGAAACGGAGCATCTGCTCTGCTCATATGCAGTTATTCATAGTGCAAACATATGGTTGGCACTAGACTCATGCTTCATTTGTCTTTCCATTAATATTGCAGGGATTCTTGTGTTTTAAAATCATTTCCATGCAACCTCCATATAAAACAATATCTACAAAATTAACTTTAGAAGCAAGAGCTCTACCCAAAGGACCATTTTATTGCTTAGAGATTTTTATTTTATGGCTTAGGAGATGCAAAGTAGTGTATTTTTTTTTTCCATGCAACTATCTTCTGCCTTTCTTCTATCCCGACTTACTATGCAGAACAATTATAAGGTATTCTTACGTCAATTGTCCCCAAAAAATGAAAAACACCATCATTTTGTGCCACTATCCACCTTTAAATTTATCTTAAAGTTTATCCTACAAAAAAAAATAAAAAAATAGAGACAAATTATACATTTGACATAGGTTTACAAAAAGCAGAACATAAACAAGCAGGGTAGTCTGATTCGCAAACAAATTAATCTTATGAAACGGTACTTGTGAGTGAATCAGAAACATACAGCACAACAAGTCTAATCCGATTCACAAGCAATTGACTCTTATGAACCTGTACTTTTAAGTGAATCAAAAACATACAGCACAACCAGCGTAGTCCAGATCACAAGTTCTTAATACTGAATCAAAAACACACATCAGCGTAATCAGTCTAGTTCAATATGGGATGACTCTTATGACCCCGTCTTTTTTAGGGAATAAAAACATATAGAACAACCAGTGCAGAACGACTTGATCAAAGCATACAGCATCCAGTGCAATCCCGTTCACAAACAAATGGCTCTTATTTTATTGGCAAATTACTCTTTTTTTATTTTTAAAATTAATATTTTTGCAATATACCAAGGTTCCTTGTGCAATTTACAGGATTATAACTGGACTATGCCCAAGTTAATCAAAATTGAATCAAATCAGATAATTTGAATCAGAATCAAATTAGGCCATGTCCACACGTACACGGGTATTTTTATAAACGGAGTTCCTTCTTCCATTTTTAACAAAAAATCTCCGTCCCCATGAAAATGCAAACGCATATTATGAAGCACTGTCAAGAGCATGCCAAACCAACAGGTGGCGATATAATCTCAACCGTAAAGCCATGTTGACCAATCAGAAGCCTGAAAAAGTTTCCTGTAGGCGGAGATAACAGCGCAGGCTCTAACGTCACAAGCCAAAAACTCCAGTTTCGCTGTCTACACGATAACACTGCAACCGGAGTTTTTGAAAATCTTCACCCTGGCAGGCGTTTTCAAAAACGTTCAGTTTCAGTGACCTGGTGCTGCGTTTGCGTGTGGACGAACGGTCAAACCACGTAGAAAAAGCTGCGGTTTTAAAAACAACCGCATTCGTGTGGACAGGGCCTTAGATCAGATGTACTCATATAGTTTCAGACATTATTGAGGTCTCTTCTAGAACTCTAGATAAAAATTATATCTGAGCAGTTGGAGACTTAAGCAATATTCTCAATTTGCTCTCCATTCAATCTCATTTTTTGTCAGAACCACTATGGTCAAAATGATTGACACTCTGCATACAGTTTGGATTGGCGGTATGGTTCCGTTCTGGGTAAAAACTCCCCGCTCATCCATGCAGCCTGTCATCAATGAGCAGGGAGAGCAGCAATAACACCCCCAGGGTAGACAGAACAGAACCAAATGCAGATATCACTAATGTTCTTAATGACATTTTAGTGTAACAACATTTTTAAAGATAAAAGGAGCCTGATTCAGCAATGAATATTAGAAAGCCAAGTCCTGACTGTGATGAAAGGAGGAGTTGAGGACGGAGGAGGGTAATTTGCTCCTGAGCAAGCGATTAAGCTGCTGAATAATACTGAAAATGCCTTATATAGGAATGCCGTGATAGGCGTCGTATTCCTAAAGGTAGACGTGGATCAGCTGAGAGTCAGATGATGCAAGCTTGACTCACGTGACCTGCCAGAACTAACGCTATGCTTGATTTTTGTCTAGAAATATTTGAAACACTATAGAGATCTCATTTGATCGTTCCTTTGGGTTTACATTCTAAAATGTTTTTTTTTTTTATGTACCACAGGAATCTAACCAACATCCCTATCTGGATAATCACACAACAGGTCCAATTCTGGTGTCATCAACCACATGTTAAAAGTATTTAACAGTGAAGCCAGTTTGTGTGAGTCAACAAAAGCTGAATGTGATAAGCCATGACGCCTGCTGGGCTTCAAAAATGTGTGTGTGTGAGAGTTTGTTTTGCAGTGGAGGAAAGCCCACACTGCTTTGGCAGAGAAAAATGGAAGTCTTGCATAACATGTCGTCCTAATGCAGGTTTTCGATTAGGTGTTAGTGCATCTGTTTAGCGCTGGAGGTTTGCCATGCGCACTTCTGTATTTTATTCAAGCATTTCTGTCATCAAGCAGTTATAAAGCGGCATGCATCATTTAAATAGTGCTAAAGCTGCTGACATTTATGACAGAATGAGAGGAGATAAAACAAACATCTTTGTCACTATATAAGAACAAACTGGCTATTAAAGCATTCCAAAACACAGGAGAAAACAGCACACTTACAACAGTGGCATTTGAAAGTGTAGGTTGACACAGAGACAATTGCAAAAACACAATCGATCGGTCATTATCTTGCTTGCAGAGAGTCATTTATTAGAAATAAAGATGCATCAAATTGATGGTAAGCCGTACAATCATATTTGCACAGACAAAACGGATAGTTACCATGGTGATCCAGGTATAGGCGTGGATGCAACCGGCCGCTTGTCTTTGAGCGAACTGTCCTCATCCATACTGACTTTAAAAGGCTCATCCTGGACACACATACACACACATACAGAAAGGATGTGTCAGCTTGACATGAGGGCATATAATGTTGTCTGAGTGGTCTTGTGAGTTTTCATACAGGATTCAGGCCAGATTCATGTCCAGTACAAGAGTCAGGGACAAGAGCATCAAACAGCATATATATATATATAGTCAATACTTGTGTGATTTATGTATTTTTATGCTTATCAGAGTATCATATTTTTATCTTAGTATTATATGCAGATTGTTTCAAATCGCTTCTGAAATCAAGTCACTCAATTCAGTTTGGCGGCAGACAGCGAGGCTTTAAAAACAGAGCGCATATGTTTGTTTTTTTCTACTCTGTAATCATGCAGGCAAAGTGAACCTCAATTATCTCACCCTAAACATGGGTTACAAGGCTAATAATAAAATATAGTGTTGATTATCCACCTGCTAAATTATGTAGATGTGTTCAGCCTTGAACACACACTCAGAAAACAACCAATTAACCAGTCCCTGAATGACCGAATGATGCAAATGACTGATTCTCTGAATAAGTTCGGACAGCAGGCTTGCACACTCTTTACGGTCAAATGAATTACCGTTCTGGGGGAATTTCGCTAATTAATCTGGCTGAGAAGATTTTAAAGGGGTCATATGATGCGATTTCAATTTTTCCTTTCTCTTTGGAGTGTTACAAGCTCTTGGTGCATAAAGAAGATCTGTAAAGTTGCAAAGACTAAAGTCTCAAATCCAAAGAGATATTCTTTATA